GTCAATGCTTAGTTGATTGTTCGAGATTTCTTATCCTACGAGTTTCCGTGGACATGATTCACATGAAAGACAGGAGATGTTGCAACTCAAAAAATTGTGTCATTGGGTTCTTTCGGTCCTAGAGAGTAGAATATTACCTGATTGAGACTCCTATAAACTTAGTTGCTTGTTTTTGCTAATTGCTGTCCTTTTCCTTTGGCGTGGTTGGTTAGGTCATGGGTGTGGTTTAGGGTCCGTTTAGAATGTATACTTAAACCATGATTCTTAATTTTAACGTTTAAAACTTAAATCTTTTTGTGAGAGAATAACACTGTAACGAAATCAATTATTTGAGTTTGAGCATATGAAATAAACAGACTCTTAATCTCCTTCATTGTTCTTTCTGTTGGCCTTTAAACCTTCTTATAAAGTCATCATGCACCCAAAAAAATGCATAAATAAATAAAAATAAAAGAGATTCTCTGATATGTCTGGTGTATCGATAAGTCAAATTTTTTTAACTGTTAAATTTACATTGTTTTTAACTTTTAAGTAATTTTATACAAATCTGACCAATAAAAAACTTGACCTACTGATATGTTAACGTATTAAAAAAGGATAATAGTAAAAAAAAAAAAAAAAAAAGCCTATTTAAACCCTTATTATGGTACACGCTTTTTAGGTTGTCCCGTTATCTGCTAGATCCTTTTCAACCAACTTAATATATAGACAGATAAATTGGGGAAAAATAAAAATTAAAAAAAAAATCGTTCTTTTGGACCGTTCCTTAAATGCTCTATGTAATCTGTCCAAGCAGACCCGTGACAAGAAGCCCAAAGACAGGACAGAGAAGCACTGTGACATGATAATAGTAATCTAATCTCCTTTTTAAGTTAAAATTGGAAATTGACAAAATTTAAGCTCCGTTTGTTATTTAATAGGTTTAAATTACTATTTAAATTTTATTATTATAGTGTTTTTCTCATAAAATTTAAATTTGTGTTCACATTTTTTCCGTCTAAACCTATAAACCAAACTGGCTTCAACTCAATTCAAGATTCTTCCATCCCATCAGTATTTGAACGTTAACACGTAACACCCGCCTTATCATATAACATATGGATGCAGAAGAATTCATATGTCGAGATTAGGAAAGAAGAAAAGTTTAAATTTTCTTGTAAGTGGACACTTGTCGAGATTAGGAAAGAAGAAAAGTTCAAATTGTCTTTTGAAGGACACTTGGAATTTGATCAATGGCCAAGATTTAGCCAAACACTTGTGATCCAAGGGTAGATATTAGATGTGGAATCAATGACTAGGATCTATCTACATAAGCTTTGATCCAAGAGCTAGAATGTAAGATGGCATACTATAAATAGGTTATGGATTCATTTCATCCTTCATATGGAGGAAGCTAGAGAGAGAGAGTTGGCGAGATAGAGAGAAAGAGAAAATAGAAAGACAGAAAGAAAGATATACAAAATTGAGAGAAGGATTTTTCTCTCTACCAACAAATTTGTAAGTAGACTTTCCACTACAATACATGAACAATATCACATGAAAGTTTTTAGTTTATGAAAATTGTCAATTTATATATATTTGACATGTTTTCATGAGATTTAGAAAGTGTTTTAGTTTTCATAATACGATATGAATCTTCTGTTAATTACGAACCGACTCAGTTAGTAAAAGGGTCAAATCCTTAAGGAACAAGACATTTTGAGACTGGGGCCACCAGATAGAAGATGAAGAGGTTCTAATAACACAAGATGAATGTCAGACAGAAAGAAAAGTATTTTCAAAGTGGAAATTATTTTACGGTTTACTTACTGAGCTTTAGCGCATATAGTTCTCGTGATGCATGTAAGCTCTTAGTAGAAGTTTCAGCTGACTGAGCAAGAACGGTTCAAGTCCCATGACGAGTTTAAGTTAAGAGATCTTAAGTTATGTAACTTGTAAATTTAAGAATTTGTTCGAGGATTGTACTTGATATAGAGATTATTTCTCTATTTAAGCAGTAATATAGTAAAGTAAGTTAACGTTTCTCTCGAGTTGGCGTAGTTATTAGCTGCTGGCTCGGGAGGGGCGTTACATTTTGGTATCAGAGCCATATGTTTCTAGAGACATAATAGAGTAGACGTGTCATGGGACCAAGAACTCGCTCAACCTAAGAATTATGTTTTAAGGAATACTTAAGATTTTTAATTATTTTATGACAATTGTTCAGTTGGAGAAATTAGAATCTTTAAATTATGAGGACGAAATTTTTATAAGGAGGGGAGATTGTAACACCCGTCTTATCAGATAACATATAGACGCAGAAGAATTCACATGTCGAGATTAGGAAAGAAGAAAAGTTCAAATTTTCTTCTAAGTGAACACTTGTCGAGATTAGGAAAGAAGAAAAGTTCAAATTTTCTTCTAAGTGAACACTTGTCGAGATTAGTGAACACTTGTCGAGATTAGGAAAGAAGAAAAGTTCAAATTGTCTTTTGAAAGACACTTAGTCAAGTAGATGGACACTTAGAATTTGATCAATGGCCAAGATTTAGCCAAACACTTGTGATCCAAGGGTAGATATTAGATATGGAATCAATGGCTAGGATCTATCCACATAAGCTTTGATCCAAGGGCTAGAATGTAAGATGGCATACTATAAATAGATTATGGATTCATTCCATCCTTCATATGGAGGAAGCTAGAGAGAGAAAGTTTGCGGGATAGAGAGAAAGAGAAAATAGAAAGACAGAAAGAAAGAGATAGAAAATCGAGAGATGGATTTTCCTCTCCACCAGCAAATTTGTAAGTAGACTTTCCACTGCATTACTTGAACAGTAGTACATGAAAGTTTTTAGTTTATGAAAATTGTCAATTTATATATATTTGACATGTTTACATAAGATTTAGAAAGTGTTTTAGTTTTCATAATACGATATGAATCTTCTATTGATTACGAACCGACTCAGTTAGTAAAAGGGTCAAATCCTTAAGGAACAAGAGATTTTGAGACAGGGGCCACAAGATAGAAGATGAAGAGGTTCTAATAACACAAGATGAATGTCAGACAGAAAGGCCTTAAAAGTTTAAAGAAAAGTATTTTTAAAGTGAATTATTTTACGTTTTACTTACTGAGCTTTAGCGCATATAGTTCTCATGATGCAGGTAAGCTCTTAGTAGAAGTTTCAGTTGATCGGTTCAAGTCCCATGACGAATTTAAGTTGAGAGATGTTAAGTTATGCGGTTCAAGTCCCATGACGAGTTTAAGTTAAGAGGTCTTAAGTTATGCAATTCAAGTCCCATGACGAGTTTAAGTTAAGAGGTCTTTAAGTTCTGCAGTTCAAGTTCCATGACGAGTTTAAGTTAAGAGATCTTAAGTTATGTAATTTGTAAATTTAAGAATTTGTTTGAGGACTGTACTTGATATAGAGATTATTTCTCTAATTAAGCTGTAATATAGTAAAGTAAGTTAACGTTTCTCTCGAGTTAGCGTAGTTATTAGCTGCTGGCTCGGGAGTGGCGTTACATTTTGGTATCAGAGCCATACGTTTCTGAAAACATAATAGAGTAGACGTGTCATGGGACCAAGAACTCACTCAACCTAGGAATTGTGTTTTGAGGAATAGTTAAGATTTTTAATTATTTTATGACAGTTGTTTAGTTGGAAAAATTAGAATCTTTAAATTATGAGGATGAAATTTTTATAAGGAGGGGAGATTGTAACACCCGCCTTATCAAATAACATATGGATGCAGAAGAATTCACATGTCGAGATTAGGAAAGAAAAAAAGTTCAAATTTTCTTCTAAGCGGACACTTGTCGAGATTAGGAAAGAAGAAAAGTTCAAATTATCTTTTGAAAGACACTTGTCAAGTAGATGGACACTTAGAATTTGATCAATGGCCAAGATTTAGCCAAACACTTGTGATCTAAGGGTAGATATTAGATATGGATCAATGGCTAGGATCTATCCACATAAGCTTTGATCCAAGGGCTAGAATGTAAGATGGCATACTATAAATAGGTGATGGATTCATTCCATCCCTCATATGGAGGAAGCTAGAGAGAGAAATTGGGCGAGAGAGAGAGAGAAAGAGAAAATAAAAAGACAGAAAGAAAGAGAGAGAAAACCGAGAGAAGGATTTTCCTCTCCACTAGCAAATTTGTAAGTAAACTTTCCACTGCATCACTTGAACAGTGTAGTACATGAAAGTTTTCAGTTTATTGTCAATTTATATATATTTGACATGTTTTCATGAGACTTGGAAAGTGTTTTAGTTTTCATAATATGATATGAATCTTGTGTTGATTACGAACCGACTCAGTTAGTAAAAGGGTCAAATCCTTGAGGAACAAGAGATTCCGAGACAGGGACCACCAAATAGAAGATAAAGTGGTTCTAATAACACAAAATGAGTGTCAGATAAAAGGGCCCTAAAAGTTTAAAGAAAAGTATTTTCGAAGTGAAAATTATTTTACGGGTTACTTACTGAGCTTTAACTCATATAGTTCTCGTGATGCATGTAAGCTCTCAAAGCGGTTCAAGTCCCGTGACCAGTTTAAGTTAAGAGATCTTAAGTTATGTAATTTTGTAAATCCAAGAATTCTGTTCGATGATTGTACTTGATAGAGATATTATTTCTCTATTTAAGCAGTAATATAACAAAATAAGTTGACGTTTCTCTCAAGTTGACGTAATTCTTAGCTGCTGGCTCTGGGAGGGGCATTACACAGTATTCATGCTAAAATACTTGAGATGACAAGGCTCTGGAAAGTAGAAATAAAGGCTTTGCTCTTGCTTTCAATTGCGAAGACCCGAAGAAGAGCAAAGGGACTAAAGGTGGAACCAAATTAAACAATTCAAGTCTGTTTGTTTTAAAAGTTCTGCATGGTTCAAATTATGTTTCTTAGTTCTACTGCAATGTTTTTTTCTCACAAACAATTTGAATTTTAAAAATCAAAATCATGAATTATAATTTGAATTCATAAACCAAACAGACCCTTCACCATTCACTAGAGCTTTGATCAAAGTGGTTCTGAAAGTTTAACAAAGCCATGGCAAAACCAAATATCATATCACTCAATTTACAGACCCAATAATTGTTTTCAAATGGTAAAGATACAATAAGAACAAGTGATATGAAATGAGCTCAATTGTATTCACTTAATATGGGCATACATTTTTCCTACAGACAAGGCACTCTCCATTAACAGCCAATATCATCGTGATTTCAATTATTCTTCCCGGTCATCCAACGATGCAAGGTCGATTGAGAAGTTGTCCCTTGGCTGTCTTCTCTAGCTGGTGACGTCTGCATGAGTCTCAAAGAATACAAAATTTAGGTCAGATTTGGTGCTGCCGAGCGACAATTCCACTTGAACCCGAACTTTTTTTACGGTTTTTCCATTTAGAGGGTTAGACTGTCTGGTATAAGCTCAATGTGTCTAGGCATTCTCAGCGGCATTCTCAGCGGCAACCTTGGAGAGAAGACCCTTTACAGAAGAATGGGCTTATGTCCCTATTAGTCATGATCCTTCCTGCTTATCTTCAGCATCGTAGACATGATTTATGTACCCAAGGCCTGCATGGCTTTCACCCATCAGCCACAGAAGAGCCTCAGCTGCCGCATCCTTTTAGGCGCTCTTTTTAATGTAACATGGTTGCCCAATGATTTGCATTCCGTTGAACTCCACTGTGAAAAAGACTGGACTGGTTGTTTTTGAGTTGCTTAGTTTTGTAGGTGGGTGCAGCATATCGTGGTCGCGTGAGCAGTGTTTGGAGCTAACTTTAGACTTATTACCACCAGCTTCACTTCAATAGTTCACTTAAGGTTGGACCCGGCGGCCTACAAATCTTCCGTCACAGTGATCCACACAGATCAAAAACTGTACTGCAGATAGGAGCTAATGAGAAGTATTTATGTCCAACCTGGGATTCAGAAGCTGCATTTTCCCGTTATTGAAATCAATAATAAGCAACATGTAGAGAACAGGTTTAATGGTCCACAAGGACACAAAGAAATTACTAACACAAATATAGACGGATTCCATTTCAAAAGCAGGTACTTATTCAAATTTTCACTTTGTCCTGAATTAGATCGTCAAGTTCCCTCCTTAAGCATAGGTACACATCTGCTACAGCAGGTTTCATGAAGAAATCCAAATATCCTCCAAAGTCCAAACAATTTCAGGTGTCCATCCTGCCTGACGATGAAAAAAGACCTCTATATAGTCATTGATCACAAGAACGCCATCACAAAACTTCATTTCCAAATTCCAGAAAACAATAAATCAAAACTTGTACTGAACTAATAGAACACAATACTCACACAATCCCCTTTAATTATGCTTCGACCAAACAGAAGTGCTGAATCAGTCACAGCTGAATCGTCATTGAGCAACAAACACAAAGTTGCGCCAACCAAATATTTGAACTAATGTATGAGAATTCTTTGATGGGGTACAAAAAAACCATAACGGTAGGGTACCGTTTCAAATCATTAGATCTTTATCAAGTTCCATCAATTTTGTATACTTTTTCATTTTGATGTGATTTTAATGTTGTGCAAAACATCCACTACTAGTAGAGATATAATTTACTATAGAAAGCTCCATACAAGAAAACCTGAGAATTTCATATTTTCACCCACCATTGACATGAACTCGGCGTCATAAAGGAGTTCTTGTGTTAGCAAGCCTATCCATCAATCTATTATAAGAAGCAATGTCAGGAATAAACCCCTTGTCTAACATCTCATCCACAAGCTTTTCCCCTTCTTTCCTTTCTCCTTCTTTTGTATACCCAGATACCAAAATATTATAGGCCATAGAATCCGGGACAAAGCCCTTGCTAGAAGCTAACAACCTCAGCTTGTCGGCTTCAACAGTTCTTCCCACATTGCAAAGATCTTGAAGTAGACAATTAAAAGTCAAATTATCCGGAACCAATCCCTCTTTTATCATCCTCTCCGTTAACCCGAACGCTTCATCACTTCTTCCTGGCTTCCTCAAACCTTCTATCAAAGTCGTACAAGCAATCAGACTTGGACTATTGCCTCTCCTCCATAGCTCATTCACTACCTCTAAAGCCCTCTCTGAATTCCCTTTTCTACACAGAATTTCCACAAGTCCAAAGTAATCATATCCATCAGGCAACACCCTTTTTCGTGAAAAATCAATTAAAATCTCGCAAGCTTCCAAAACCCGACCTTCCCTGCAGAGCCCATCAACCAAGATCTCACAAGTCACAGGGGAAAACCCACACCCAAGATCAATCATCTCATAAGCCATACCAATCCCTTCCTCAAACTTCCTTTCCCTAAAGAACCCCTTTATCAAACTATTGAAACTAACCACATTGGGACTACAACCCATCTCCCTCATCTCCCTAAACAACTCCAAAGCCGACCCAAACTTCGAATTCCGACAATAACTGCTCAGCAAAATATTGAAAGTAAAAACATCAGGCTTGACTCTATAACCACTCATCCTATTATAAAACTCCAAAGCCTTGTCATGCTCACCCCATTTGACAAACCCATTAATCAAAGTATTACAAACCACAACACTAGGCTTCCCATCAATCAACTTTCTCATGGAATCAAAGGCAGAAACGGCACATTCCAATTTCCCAACTCTACAATAAGCATTAATAGCAAAACGAAAAATGGGTTCCGTTCTAGAGCAAGAGAAGATACCGTCGGAGCAAGGGCAGGGGTTGGCAGCAAGGAAGTCGAGGAGCGCGGCGAGCTCGGAGAAGCGGTCGGAGACGGCGAGAGTGCGGGCCATCCACTCGAAGGTGGCGTGGTTGTGGCGGAAGGAGTCGACGGTGGCGGCCCAGGAGAAGACGTGGAAGTCGTAGTGGGAGAGGTTTGGGTGGTGGTGGAGCTTGGATTTCAGGAAGTGGAGGAGAGTTTCGGGAGTGAAGGGTGGCTTGAGGTGGGCCTTGAGGAAGGCGAGGAGACGGAGATGGGTATCGTTTCGGGTTTTGTTGTCGTTTGGGGTTAGAGAGAGGGAGAGACTGTGGGTGGGGGTGTCGTTTGGTGGGGTTGGGAGAGGTGGGTTTGGGAATGGAGATGGCGGTGGAGGTTTTTGGGAGAGTTTTTGGAGTAAAGGAATGGGTTTTGGGAATGGGAATCTCTTCTTCCACTGGTTGTTGCTCGGAAAGTCGACGGCGACTCTCGCCGTCGCCAGAACCTTGGATCCCCGGCATTGCGCTGGATTTCCCGGGAAAAACATCGGTGTTTGGTAGGCGGGAAAAGTGTTCCGGAGGTGCGGGAAAATCGAGGGCTTTAGGAGGTGGAGGCGACCCATGAATCAGCTGTTTTTTCTCTCAAGTTTTTTTTTTCCTTTTTCAATTTTAGGTATTCGCAATGAGAGTTTCTTTTTTTTTTTTTTCCGACGAGGCATCAGCAGTTTGACTGGCAAGCTTGAGGTTGGTGAGGATGGCCATGGCGACATGGGGTTGATACATTTATGATTTTACCCTACTCGTAGTATTAGAATTTATGGTCAACAATGTCATTTTATTTGCTTTTTTTTTTTTTTTTTTTTTAAATTTTTGTTCAACAATTTTTTTTTTTTTTTTTTTTTTTTTTTTTTTTTTTTTAGAAAATAGAATGTTAGTAGACTTTTGATCTAGAGGTTGAACATGTAAATGAGTTAAAAGTAAAGAGGGCTAAGTTCATGTAAAGGTAACATTTTTGTCTTTATGATATATAACCTAGTGCTGAAATTTTGAACGGACTGTCCGCGAATGTCTGAAAAAATTGATTTTGAGTCTGATGCCCAACCCGACCCGTCTGAATTTTTCAGGCCGCCTGCCTGAGCCCGAGAAGGCTCTTGGACGCGCCGCAGGCCTAGTGTTAGATGCCCGAGCTCGGTTGGGCAGCCCGAGCCCGTCCAAATGGCTCAAAAAATATATATTTTAATTTAATAAATTAATTTTATATATTAATTTTTAAATTCGTAATTCATGATTGCCTCGTTAAAAATCTTACTAAGAAAAACTCAATTGCGATTTCTGCATAATAAATTCATTAGTAAGAAATTGACCTTCAACAGGAATACTATCATAACCGAACGAATCCATTATAAAAAATAAGAGCGATTCGAGAGAGAACTTTAGGATATTTGTGATAGTTATTGAAAAAATTGTGAGAGAGATTTAAGAGATTGAGAGAAATTGAGAAAATTTGAGAAAATTTAGGTGAGAAAAATATGTGAGGGATGAGCGATGCACGAGAGTTTTCACCAATTGAGGCTAGCTCAACTATTGTTTACTGGGTTTGCGAGTTGCTTTCATTATATTGAAAGAAAAATAAAATAAAATAAAAATAGAAGAAGAACACCATCTAGCTCACGGGTTCTTGTAGTTTCAACCATGAGCCCATTTCGAACCAGTGTTTGGATGCACTTATTTTGACCATAGTCTAAATCATGATGTAATGTTTTAAACAAACTAAACAAGAAAAATCAACACTTAAACCCCCAATAAATTCATCCATTTTGAACCCATTTTCCAAACCAAACTTGTAGACTTATAGTTCGCCACTCAGCGGACGGAGCTTCTCTACCACCAAAGCAGCATTTACAAAGGGAGCTTTTTATGAGACGACGTAACCAAAGATCATCACTCAATTTACAGACCCCACGAATTGATACAAAAAGGTAAAAATATAATAAGAGCAAGTGAAGTGAAATGAACTCACCAGGTACAAACAAATCACCTATGTTCACTAACACATACGTACATATTTTTCTGGACCCAAGGCACTCACTACTAACAGCCAATCCATGGTCCTTCCATTATGTTCTCCTGGTCAGTCCAAACATTAGTGACCTCATATAAACATTTTATAGCTCCATGTTCGAATATGATGATGAGTGCGTTTAAAATTAGTTTCAAAATGATGTTATTTTTTTTGTATGAAATTAAAAATGAAAACGTTTTTAATTTAAGATAGAAATTATTTTTAAAAATGCATTTAGTAATTTTATTAAGAAATTATTTTCAGTTTAAGAAAAAATTAAAACTCCGTTTAGTTATATAATTTTCACCAATTTACCTAAAAAAAGACATTTGGCAAAAAAAAAATTGAAACAAAAAATGAAAAACAACTTCAAATTGTTTTCATTTTCTAAGTGATTTTACACTAAATTAAAAAATAAAATTGTTTTCAATTTTTTTACCTTTTTTCCTCCAAACACGTTTTCCCCCTCAATCTCATTTTTTTGTCTTGAAAAACGTAAAAAATAAAAATGAAATTGATTCCAAACAAGCTAGATAATCCACCTATCTTGAATCGACAGACAAACTGTCCCTCAAATGTCTTCTCTTGCTAGTGACCTCTGCGTGGGTCTAAAAAAATACAAAGAGCGCATTTAAAACTCGTTCTAAAATGATTTTATTTTTTATATGAAAATGAAGACGTTTTCAATGTTAGACATAAATCATTTTTAAAAATATGTTTAGTAGTTTTATCAAGATATTATTTTCAGTGTAAAAAAACCCATTAATATCTCTCTTTCTCTCTTTACTCGAGAAAAGAGAAAACGAAAACAAAAAATAAAAAACGACTAAAAATCGTTTTTCATTTCTAATTTTACACTAAACCAAAAAATTATTTTCATTTCTTTTTTTTTCCTTTATTGCACCAAACGTCATTTTGAAAACGTTTTTATTTTTTCTTCCTCAAAAAACGTGAAAAATAAAAACAGAATCAATTCTAAACACGGTCAAAATTTACGTCAGATTTGGCGCTTCCAAGCGAGCCACCCAATCTTTTTGCGATTTTTTAGATATAAGGTTAGACTGTGGTATAAGCTCAGTGTGGAGGCATTCTCAGCAACAACCTTGATGAGAAAACCTTTTACAGAAGAATGGGCTATGTTCCTCTTAGTTATGATCTTTCTTGCTTTTCTTTAGCCTCATAGACATGTGATTTATGTACTCGTGGCCTGTACGGCTTTCACCCATCAGCCACTGAAGAGCCTCAGCTGCCGCGTCTTTTTCAGCACTCTTTTTGTTGCTACATGGTTGCCCCATGATTTGCATTCCGTTGAACTCCACTGTGGCGAAGAACTGGTTGTTCTTGAGTTGCTTAGTTTTGTATGTGGGTGCAGCATATCCTGCTCGGGTGAGCAGTGTTTGGAGCTGACTTTTAGAATTATCACCACCAGGTCCGCTTTCAGTCCTTGAAACCAAAGCTGGCTGTGTGGCAGCAACGAAGGTCTCTGAAGAAGACTGAAGGTGGACCTGGCGGCCAAATACAAATCTTCCATCACACTGATCCTCAGATATCAGCAACCGTACTGCAGATAGGAGCTGACGATAGGCATTTATGTCCAACCTGGGATTCAGAAGCTGCCATTTTACCCAGGATTGAAATTAGTAACAGGCAACATGCAGAGAACAGTTTTAATGGTCCATGAGTCCATAAAAGAGTTTTTTTTTTTTTTTTTTTTTTTTTTTTTTTTTTTTTTTTTTTTTTTTTAGGGTAATAAAAGAGAAACTAGCAACACAAATGTAGAAAACTCCCTATTCGAAGCAGGTAATTTATTCAAGGATTCACTTACTTTGTCCTGAATTAGATCGTCAAGTTCCCTCCTTAAGCCTATGTACATATCCGCTACAGCAGGTTTCATGAAGAATTCCAAATACCCTCCCAACATTTTCAAGTGTCCATGCTGCCGAAAGATGAAAACAGATCTTTATAAAGTCACTGACAACAAGAACAGCATCATATACCTTCATTTTTACAGCCCAGAAAAGAAATTAAAACTTAAAATGCACCAATAGAAAACAATACTCACTGTATCCCCTTTCAATATGCTTCCACCAAACAGAAGAAGTGCTGAATCGATGAGAGCTGTTGAATCCCGTAGGAAAACAGAGTTCACTTTTATCTTCTCATTAAAAACTAGCCATGGGTATGGTATTTTAGCTTCCCGAGAATTAACTGAGTTCTAGATAAACCAAATGAGCATAAATTAAAGGCAAGCATAATAAAAAGACGAGCCCAAGCAACAAATTCATTTATTGTATGATCTTACCGAGTATAAAAGCACCTGGCCATCCTCCATAGTTTTTAGTGAAAATGACTTCTCATTATTCTGCATAATGCATATACATCTATATGGCCTCAGGACAATTATTCAGTAGAAAATAAAATCATATTTACACTTGAAAGGGAAAGACAGAAAAATCACCCATCTAAATAGTTAACAGATGAATATACCCTTCCAATATTATGTTACTTATCAGACAGCAAATAGCAAAGCCATGATTGTCAAAGCACTTAATTACTTAATGTGGCTATTCTGGCCACGACATCCGTACTAAGATACAGAAGATAATAAACCAACAGAGGAAGGTGGTTGAATCATTAACAAGTTGGAGAATTGTCTGGAAGATAAGAAAACGCTTTCGCAATATAAATATAAGCAATCACTTACCACAATGGAGCAAACTCCAGGATATAGACCATAGCAAATAACTGCTCGTATAAGATGCTCGTCATAGCCCCATGCATTATAGCTGGTGGGATCGGCATCAACCAGACCAGTATCCCTAAGCAAAGAGAAGAACTCCTTCCTAAGAGCATCAATTGCTTTCATTGATTGTGCTGAAAGGAAATTTTTCCAGCAGTAATCATAACCAGCATAGTCTCTTTCAGCCTTTTTCCATCCCTCATAAGCTCTAATAATGGCAAGGTGATCACTGTAGTCTCTAGAAAACTGAGATTTTGCAGCTTCTGCAAGCTACACGGACAAGCCAATTTAACTCAAACCAGAATCCAATAATTATAACCGACAACATTAATAACAAAGACAGATATACGCTTCAATTTCTTTGCAACTAGTCATCCCTAAAACACCAAAGATTACTCCAACCGAGTCAGTTGTAATTCAAAGTAGCCAAGTACATCCTATTCTTCAGGATTAGAGTAAAGAAAAAGAGCAAAGAAAAAAAGAATTGTAGATATACTAGCTAACCTTCCTTCCATAGGCAGGGACAAAACTTCAACTTACATGAATAAGATATAGATAACATAGACAATAAATTGTACAGTGAAATAATCTTTCTACTTGAAAATAATTCCCAGTCCATTTCCTAAGCTAATATCCAAAACCTATAGAATAATGATTGGAAAATGTTGTAACCATTTCTGTGACTTTATTTAATAAATAATGAATTGTTTTCTCGTGCCAAAAAGAAAGCTAACAACAGAAGTAGAGTTCATGTTGGCAGTTCCTGAGCAATAATTGCTGTAAAGAAAAAATGGATTCAGAGGGAAAGGGATTTCAACATTTAGTGCAAGGTTCCTTAAAAATATATATACTTTTAGGTCCTATAGAAGATAGATGCCAACTTCTGAAAAGTGTTTTTTTTTCAATACCTAGCTGTTCCCAACTTCTGAAAAGAATTTTTCAAAATGACAAATTTATTAATTTTCATAGTAACACTTGGTATGTTTGTGAGGGAGAGGGAGAGAGAATATGTTGTTTTGTTTTTAAGAGAACCACGTGGGGTGTGTGTGGATGTGAGAGAGAGAGAGATTTTGACTATACTCTATAGTAAAAAAGAAAAAGAAAAAAACCAAAATAAAAAAGGATTATCTTATATGTCCTAATCCAGAGTAATATAGAGGAAACTCTGTCGTTCTACAATTGCAAATCAATTTTCATAGATCGTTTTCAATTCCAATCGTGCTTAAGCTTTGTTCAATTGGCACCAAAATCATAAAAGTATAGCCTTCAAGTCCTAATGCAACCCTATGAAAAAAGCTCAAAACCCAACAATTAGCCATTTTCCCTCCCAGTGTTCACACCAGTTAAAACAAAATAGCTGCAGTCTATCATGAATGAACTGTAATAAGAGAACTAGAATCCCACTTACATCCTTCTTGTCCAATGGTGTTAAAAAAGGATCTCTGACACTGAGCCCAGAAACAATAGTCAGTACTGGATCCAGGCAATTTAATATGGCACCTAATAAGAGCATCTTTCCGAGTTTTGGCTCCACAGGAAGCATTGTTATATATCGTCCTGTCAAGAAACTCAAACAGCATGAGGCTTTTTGTTTAATAAACAGTTTACTTGCAATAAATTGTTAAAAACGAATATTAAATATCCATTCTTACCTAAAACAGTTAGATTTTCATTCTCATCCAATGCCGCAATCAGTTTTAAATATTCAATGGCATTTTGCACCTACAAACATGTATCAAGCAAATGAAAGAGGCAGTGGAATAATTGCAAAAGATAGACATCATAGTTGTCACAGGTACATTTCAGAGCATTTCTTATGAGATTTTAAAGTTCGATCCAGAGAACAATGATTGACCAAACAACAAAACTAAGGAAAGAGACTTCGATATTACAAGGACGACATTATATGTGCATATAACATGCATTTGCGTGCAGGCAATATGATGTCTTCCAAATTCCAGTTATAAATGTGCATGGAGAGATTGTTACCGCTAATAACTCTGGTGACTGTAAAGCCCTGGATAGGAACTCAGAAATACTTCCAAGTTTTAAACTTTTTATTTGGAGACAAAGAGACTGCAAAGGCGTCCTCAAAATTTCAGGCAATTGATACTCCACAAAAGCATCATACACACATCTAGGGTAAAGATGGTAACATTCTCCAGGTTGAACACGACCAGCTCTTCCTCTTCTCTACAAGACACGATAAAAACAAATAGAAAGTATTTAAATCACCAGAAGTTCAACATGTGGTGAACAAAGCCAGGACGCAATTCAAAGTAGAACATAACCTTACTTGCTGAGCAGAAACCTTGGATATCCAGGAAGGAAGCAAACAAGGAGTATTGTTCAGTGCATCGTATGATGTCTCTTTGGCCTTCCCACAGTCGAGTACAAAAACGACATCATTAATTGTGATACTTGTCTCAGCAATGTTAGTCGCTAGTACAATTTTCCTCACCCCATCTTTAGGCTCGTCAAATATTAACCTCTGCAGTTCATCAAAAAAAAAAAAAAAAAAAGGAGAAAACCTCTGCATTCATTCCAGGAAATCAACAAAAAGCAAACAAAAAATTGAATCAATACACTTATGCAGGTTTTCGAAAGGAACATCTAGATACAGCCATACTTGTATCCTTAACCTGAAGTGGTGAGCACAAAGTAATTGAATCAATACACTAGAGCTTTAAGTTGACGGAGCATGAATTTTACCATTGCAGTAACAATCACATCATCTTGAAAATTCTAAGATCTATTCGCAAAACAAAAAAATAATAATTATTACCTGCTCAGAACTGGCCATAGAACCATGGCATGCTAGCAACAAAAATTGGGTTGAATCACCTAATATGGGATGAGCTTGGAGCTTTTCCTTCAGAGAACTTATGTCATCCCACCCAGTCATAAAAACTAGAATTGCGCCTGGCCTTTCATTCTCACAAATATAACACAAAAGATTCTCGATGAAATTAAAACCGATAGAATCAGGATTCCAACATGATAGAGATTCCCAAGTCTGGGGGCTATAATCTTTTAAATCAGCAGCCTTGAGCGCATCCTGACCACATAGTTCACAGGTCAAAATAGGAAAATAATAGTCCTCAAAGTAGAAATTTAATGAATAAGAAGTGTTTATACCTCAACAACACAAGCAATTTGGCTTTTCCTCTTTCTAGGTGCTTGCTTGCTCATCTTCCACATTCTTTCTTGACCATAATCATCAATTTGATTGTAAGGGGTTAATTTGTAACTCGTCATTTCAAGAATATCCTCCAGAAAATGAGTTCGAACTGGGTATGTAAAACCCTAAATTAGGGGGAAAAAAAGAAAATAAAAACCTTAAGAATTAAGCTCACTGCATCATACCATTATCATCATCCTATAAAGGACCAGTTCTTTAGCATCAGCGAAAGCTGATGATGGAGAAATGGACCACAAACAATTATAAAAGATACATTATACATCTTACAATCATCAAAACGTAAGAACATATAGTTGAAAACTTGAAATAAAAGAAAACAAAGGAAAAATAACGAAAACCAAAGGGACGAATAGATCAAAGGCACTAAATGAAAGCTAATTTTTTTCCCCAAAAAAATCTGATATTAGAGGAAAATATTGACGCATAAATATAACTGCTATCATACGTAACCACCAAAAATTAAAAGTAGAGGGGCAGATATAACGTTATACTTAATCTTGGTGGGGAACAAAATTTTTTTTTTTTTAAAAAAAGGTATATCCCATAGCTAATAGTCATGAAAATAAAAGATCAAAATCATCCCTAATGAAAGAAAAAAGAAAAGGTAAAACTAAGATGACTGAAATTATAACTTACTGGAATGTGAATAACCCGAGAACTACCAAAGTACGATGCAAAGAGCTCCGCATCTAGGGTAGCACTCATCAAAATCAGTCTTAGTTCCGGTCGCCGAGGCAGCAGATCCTTAAGCACAATAAGCAGAAAATCTGGCATCCAATAATCACAGTGAGAAGTTGCATATTCCACATCAGAAAGTTAACTTTAGAACCAAGCTATTACTCACCTTCATTCATTCCACGCTCGTGGATCTCATCCACAATAACATGGCTTACACCTTTCAAACTTCTATCAACCAGCAATCTTCTTAACAAGATGCCAGTGGTACAAAAGAGAAGGTGGGTATCCCTTCCTTTTACACCTTCTAAACGAACCTTATATCCAACCTTTAACAAAGAAAGCCAAAAAAGTAACAGAGAAATTGAAATTTATTAACAAATAATGACAAGTAATAGTGCAAACATCACAAGGATTATGATAAGAACTGATAGGAACTTGATAGTTGGTTAGTGAAGTTAGTAGTTTGTTAGAAAGGATGTTATTAGTTAGTTATTGTGGACTTTAGTTGAGGAGGGAATTAGTTAGAGAAGGCAGGGGATATTAAAAGGGAGGTTCGGGAACTGAGGGAGGGGGGAAAAAAATATTGGAGTCTTGTTGAGGAAGTCTTGGCTTAGGCTAATGAAGGGGAGGTTTGGCAGTACCTCGAATCACTGCATTGTAATTCATTCTTTCATTCAATAAAGATTCATCTTTCTCTTCTCAATTCTTCTCATTTCTTGAGAAGTCTTAGATCTTATCAAGTGGTATCAGAGCACTTTCTTGGGCGAAATTCGGAGAAGATGGAGGGAACATTAGGACGTTGGCAGCAATTAGAGAAGCCAATGTTTTCTGGAGAAGATCCGGATGTGTGGATAGCAAGAGTAGAAGAATATTTCTTGAAAAATCGATTTTCAGAGCAAGAAAAAGTGATGTTCATTGAGGAGTTCTTGGAAGGTAAAGCGTTTCAGTGGTTTTTGTGGGAGGATAGAAGACGACCATTTGTTTGTTGGAGTGCATTCAAGATAAATTTGCTTCAACATTTCAGACCAACACAAAGATTGCTTTCGGAAACGAATATGGAGGAACAGAGGCGATTCTTGGCAGCGTCAGAAATAGCGAGATCGTCGACGGTGGAGGTTAGGGAACCAACGTCGGTGTTTGAGTGGGGAATCGCGACGGAGCAACGTCAGAAATCACTGACGGAGGAGACGCAACCTGTTTTAAGTGTCGATTTCGTAAATTCTTGCGGAGTCACGGCGAAATCGGGCGTCTATGGGATTGGGTTTCACGATTCCGATCCGATTGGTTCCTATCTTCATGTGGTTAGGGTTGGGGTTAGCAACTCCGGCGGGATAGGTTCCGATTTCGGCGATTTGGGGACTGCGTCTCGCAATTTAAGGTCTGGGTCTTTGAATTCAAGAGTCATTAGGGCTGATTTTGGAGCAATTTTGACTAGGTCTTCGTCTTCCAACGTGATTGAGACTGGGTCAGGGATTTTCAAGCCGCATTCCAGCAAGGGTTGGGCTGGGTTCCGAAATTCCGGCCGGATTTGGATTGGATGCCGAGATTCTGGCGCAATTGGGGCTAATTTCCGCGCAATTGGGGATGGGCCTCGCAACACCAACGTGTTTGGGGCCGGAATAGGGAATTTAGGCGTGAATTCTGGTGAAATTAGGGCTGTGTCTTGGGCTGCCTGTGCGGACAGGGCAACTTTGGCAAGGTTGGGGCTGGACTTCCTAATTCGAGCAAGATTGAGGCTGATTTTGGTGCAATTGGAATTTACCCTCAAAAATTCAGCGAGTTTAGGGCAGGGTATGCAGAAATTGGTGTGCTTGGAGTTCAAATTAGGAAGTTTGCAAACGGCAGACTTGAAATTGGTGGGTTTGCAACTCCAAAACCCAACCTTTCTCTTGTTCACTGCTTTAGGACCCATTGTTGTTGAGTTCATGGTTCCAAGCCTCTCTGTTGTAGCCTTCGTCACCGCTGAGCTTGACTCTCCTAGAGTCAATGCTCCATTCGACGTTCCAACATTCAAGCTCATCGACATGGGAAGGAAGTGGAGTCATTCGGTTGCAATTTCTTGACTTACACCTTGAGGACAAGGTGTTTGTTTGGGGCGGGAGTAATGATAGGAACTTGATAGTTGGTTAGTGAAGTTAGTAGTTTGTTAGAAAGGATGTTATTAGTTAGTTCCTGTGGACTTTAGTTGAGGAGGGAATTAGTTAGAGAAGGCAGGGGATATTAAAAGGGGGGCTCGGGAACTGAGGGAGGGGGGAAAAAAATACTAGAGTCTTGTTGAGGAAGTCTGGGCTTAGGCTAAGCAATGGGAGGTTTGGCAGTACCTCGAATCACTGCATTGTAATTCGTTCTTTCATTCAATAAAGATTCATCTTTCTCTTCTCAATTCTTCTCATTTCTTGAGAATTGTCTTAGATCTTATCAAGAACTCACCGATTCACCCAAATTTTCGCCTCTCTCAGCAGCAACTCTTTCAGATACAGACATAGCAGATATCCTTCTAGGCTGTGTACATATAATACTACAACCAGCCCCACGAAGAGACTCTATCTCAGATTCCAAAATGAATTGTGGAATTTGTGTGGTCTTGCCACAACCAGTTTCACCTGAGATGATAACGACCTGTAAAATCAAAATTCCAATCATCATAAAACAAATAATCTATACAAGAAAATGGCAAAACATTGGTGGTATATATGAGCTACTAACTAAATGATATGATTCGAGTCACAAAGAATATGGAAATTCATCTTTGACTTTGCGCTTTCACCATCATCATTAGATAACAGAATACCCAAAAATCAAGATTGAATTCTGAATTACCTCCTCGAAGAAGTAAGTACCACTTCACAAGAATAGACTATATGCGTATATATTTGTAATATATAAAATATTATTACGTACCTGATTCTGTGAAATGGCAGATAACACTGCATCCTTCTCCTTATAAGCAGGAAGACTTCTACGAAACTCCAGCATTTCCTGGCCTCCAGAAGATTCCTGTGGTTTTTGAATATATAAGTATAACTAAGTTTGTTTTACATGTTAGATACCCTAAACAATAGCATGATCATCAAAAACAGGTAATAACTATTGAAATGCAGACAGAAAGAAGCAACTAATAAAATTCTTATGTCTAAGTGGAATAATGAATCTCTGAAAAAAGAATATCGAGCAAAAGAAACAGAAACGGATAGCAATAAAAGGAAGACCTGCCAAGATCGTTGTTGATCCCTCAATTGCATGCTTCTACGCCAATGAACTCTATCCATCACCACCTTAGTGGAAGCCAGTGGCTCAGGTGCCTCAAAAAGTCCATCATCAGTGGCAAGACTACAAATACTACTTGATCTTGAAAAGGAAACATCCGAAAAGCTTTGGTTAGTCCTAGACTTTTGAGATGAGAACTCAGAAACATGCGCCTCAACCCTCCTTAGCAAGCCAAGAGGCAAGGTCACCTGTAAAATTCTCGAAAACTTAAAACTCCTAGAAAACTTTTTCAAATGAAAAGAAAGAACCTTGACGATAACTGGGAGTATAATACTCAAAATCATGTCAATCGGGCATATGGCGCTCCAACGGGCAGATTTGCACAAATAAGAGTGACAAAGAAAGAATCCGAAAATTACGGTGTTTAAAGCAAATTTAAAGTTAAAACAATGTTGCGAACTAATTGAAAAAATAATAGAATTAGAATTTTGAGAACGTACCTCCCTCTGTGGGCGCCTATCATCCAGATCGAATCTATAGTTTGGAAGTGGGACCTTACTGACAACAACAACTTTTGCATACAGATGGCTGTCAATGATAATACCGATCAGATTTTCAAAAATAACCAACTACTTAAAAAAGCATTTCTCAAAAGTTTAGAACATACCTATATAACCCCATTCTGCTCGCCAAAATGGCTATCTGATCAAAGTCAAGTCTATCCTTTTTCTCCCTGGAAATCAACTCTTGCTTATCCTTGTCCCGTGAAAGCATTGTTAATTTCCTTTTCCACTGCTCGATGTTATCAGAGGGACCAGCACCCTGAAAATCATAGCCAAATAGCTTAAACAAATGACTATAGACGTTTATGTCGAAGTAAAATAACACCTTAATTAATCAATATACTCTACATATCTTCAACTAGTGAATTATTAAAAAAACGAAATTTAGCAGTAATCAAACAGCGGCTTACTTAATCGAACAACCATTTTCGATCAAATTTTGACCAAAGAAATATGTATAATTCTATAATTCACTGCCTAAAGAAGAGAACAGACAAGTATATAGTTAAGCCTAAAAAGTAACGCAAAACCAGATTGCTTTATCACTTCCCCAAGAACTCTGAATTTCTTCTTCTCTAGTAATCAACCTTCGCAACTGGCGTAGCAATAATCAAACAGCGGCTTACTTAATCGAACAACCATTTTTTATCAAATTTCTACTCACAATTCAGCAAAAAAAGTAAATTCAAAAACCCTACTTCAATCTCACATTCCACAAGCACGTATCAATGAACCCAGAGAAATCGAAAATCAAACTGAAGAACGAGAGAAGGGAACACATGCAAGTGAGGCTCACCGGATGCGAAGACAAGTCGAAGTCGCGATCAGAACCTTCCTCGGTGATGGCATCGTCGTAGGCGGAAATGTAGGGCGAGTTCTGCCTCGGGAAGCGGTCCCGGTCCTCCTGCTGCTGCTGCGGCGGCGGAAAACCGGCAACGGTTATAGGATTCTTGGGATTAGCGTCAAAGGAAGCTGATGAGGTGTAGTTCTGGCAGGTAATGACGGAACGGAGGCGGTGGTGGGGAGGGACGTAAACGGCGCCGTATGAGGAAGGAGGCCGGTCCTTCATCACGGGTTTCGTGTTTAGGGTTAGGATTTTGGGGAGGAAAGAGGGAAAGGGAAGAAGAAGAGGAAGAAGAAGGAGAAGAGAAGGTGAGGGCATGCAACGGAATACGACGTCGTCTGTGGGGGCGTCGGGTTCTTTTCTTTGTTTGATATTGTTTTTGTGCGACTGAGAAATGAGAAATGGTCGGAGAGAAGAGAAGAAGTAAAGTCAAAAGAGTATGGGTTTCTTCTTTTTCTTCTTCTTCTTCATTACTTCATTTTTAGTTGTACTGTAGAGCACGTGCTTTCTGGCGTGTGAGAATGTTTACGGGGAGGGGCCCCACGTCAGCGTTCCAATATTTGCTCACGCGCACACTGAGACTCACACGTCAGCGTTTAAAACTCATTTTAAAATAATTTTATTTTTTATATAAAAATAAAAACGTTTTTAATCTCAGACATAAATTATTTTTAAAAATATATTTAATAGTTTTATTAAGAGATTATTTTTAGTATAAAAAACTCATTAATGTCTATCTTTCTCTCTCTCTGCTCGAGAGAGAAGAAGACGAAAACAAAAAATAAAAAACGACAAAAAGTCATTTTTCATTTCTCTCTCATTTTACACTAAATCAAAAAATCGTTTTCATTTCTGTTTTTTTGTCTTTATTGCGGCAAATGCCGTTTTAAAAACGTTTTCATTTTTTTTTCTCAAAAAACGTGAAAAAAACGGGATTAATTCCAAATATAACCCTAATGTTCATGGTGGTGCCCGTGGCGCCTTTTGGATTGGGTGCAATTTACATTAGAGTTTTTTTTTCTTTAGATAAAATTATTTTGATGTCCTTTATTTTTCGATAAATCACTTTAATCACGTCAATATGTTTATTTTTTCAGAAATTATAGTAAATAATTATTGGTGTCTAGTCGATTCAGGAGTACTACATGCAATGTTGTACACGTAGACGTACCTGGTTTGATGATGAAGCTCCTACGCGAGCACAATATTTAGCACTTTCGGATGTAGACACAAAAGCAGGACCTCCAACAAAGATAATAGGGCTAGCAAGGCCTAAATTAGGCTGAAGAAAACGGATTCTAGGGACTTTTCCGTTGCCGAAATGATAAAAATAACCCTGGGAGAAGAGTTAGAAAATCCACAACAGCAAGAAAAAAAACCACGTAAACTGAAGTCAGTGGGAGGAGTAATCAAGTAGTTGATGGAGAGATGACTCGGGTTGGATAAGGCATTTTTAGAGGAAAAATGTGATCATGTCGTGGACAAGGCTATGATGGAGAAAACGAGACTGCTCTGTGTGTTGAGAATTGTATCCTAAAAGCATGAGATGTATAAGATATTTATTATTTATTTAATAAAAAATTTTATTCATTATTTTATGTACATAAATTATTGAATATTTTATGAATATCATTGAAAATTTTATGATTTTTTATGTGGCCTTAAATATTGTATATAAGTGTTATATGCGAGAGAATAATATTTAAGGATAATAATCAAAACGATGTTCGTAATGAATTTAATTAAAGTTCAGAATCTTTAATTAAAACATTACTAATACATGTCATTCCTATTTAGAATGAAACAGTGTTATTCGCACTGTTAATATGACGAGATATTGAATGAATGTATTACGCATAATGAGATTATGTGGAACCGGGACACATACACAATATGAATTTCTGATAATTTTTGTTAAGTATATCAATTCTAATTGAGTCTGCCGATGGTCATATATAGAATAGTCTTAATCATGAGTTATTATCAAACTCTTATTTGTGGATTTATGTCTTTTGTCTTACTCGGTATGGATTTTTAGATTGGTAAATCTTATTCCTTGTATCTTAGAGACATGATAAAGTGGATAGCTAAGAATGTTAATATACGAGATAAAATCTATTTCTTCTTGAGAAAGAAGCAGATAAATAATTCTATTAAGGGTTGATTCGGTACTTGGTTTAGTAGAGTTCTAATTCATGAATTTGTTTTATGAGTCACTATCCATTAGAGAATCAATGGTACTCAAGGATAAAGATGTAATTAGAGAGGCCAATGGATTTTATTAAACTCTAATTATGAATTATTTATGGATGATTGATCTATATGTAATGACTATATCAAATGGACACTTCATAGTTTGGAAGTAAATTATATCTATAATTACGAAAGTGCAATTCTAAGTTTATAATAGAGTAACTTTAGAATTAATTAATTAATTAAAGAGTTTTAATTAATTATTAATTTTATTGGAGTTCAAAATTATAGGTCCATGAGTCCCCGCGTCGTCCTTGTAATTCTACAAAACACTGAGGGCAAAATGAAAATTTTAAAATTATAGAATTCTAAATAAAACACTCAAAAATAATTAATTGAGAATTAATTAAATATTAAATAATGTGATTATTTAATTTGAATTTTGGAACACACATGTGATGGAGATCACAAGTGTCACACGCCTAACATTGTAGGAATCCATCTGGGATTCAGTTGCTTGCACTCTAAGTTATCCAATTGACTTATTTGATAAGCTATCCAATTAGAACTCAAATTAAATTAAGTTTAATTTTAATTGGAATTTAAATTTGACTCAAAATTTGACAACTGAATAAAGGAGAAATTTTATTGCCTCTTTATCTACAATAGGCACCCACCATAGGGATCGTATTCCTGTGGTAGCCGAATTTTATCTACAATAGAAGAGAGAAAATTGTTCTAAAATTAAATTAAATTTTTTTTATTTCAAATAGGATTTAAAATTAAATATTATCTCTTATTTTCTGAGTCCTTATCTTAAAAGATAAGATATAATTTCTATAGGACTCTAAGAGATACTCTATAAATAGGGAGGTTACAAAAAATTAGATAACACAATTTTTTCTCCCTCCCCTTGTAACATGCTAGGTACAGGCGTGTAACATTTTGTCAGACAGTGTGTAACATGTTAGTGACAAGCGTGTGACTTTTTCACTCCCTCCCCTACAGGTGGCATATAACATGCCTAGTGTCAGCATGTAACACGCAGTTGGTTAGCATGTAACCTACTATATGTGGGCGTGTAACCTGAAAGAAAAAAGGAGGAAAAGTTCTTCCAAATTCTCAGTTTCACGTCGTGCATAAGTTGGTATTAGTGAAATACTTGAGTGTTTTGAGTGCTAATCATATTTTCTTTCAGGGGCCCCCATACACATGTCTTCAAAGATTCAAGGAATTGACGATGAAGATTTTGATATTCCAAACAAGCTTGGAGCGAGGATCGTTCGTGGTCAAAGAATTCAAGTTATCAACCTAATCATTCGCTAGGTAAAATTATTCATAAATTAATTTATTCGCACATAAATTAATGTATTCTATCGAGTATCTCAAAAGTTTATCAAAATTTGTGCTATACACAATCTGCTAGATATACGCTTCCGCGTAGAAAATAGTTTTCAAAATTAACACTGTGAACCTGCACATGCAGCTCCATGGGAGAAATATTGAGAGAACCCTGAAAAGGGTGAGGTTGAGCGACCCAAAGTAGCTGTTGGTGAGAATGAACTCTTGATGCCTTTCGAGCCTCGAAATATGCTCCGTGGCATGAAGGTATTCGAATCTGCTAATAAAGTGCTCTAAGAGAGGAGCAGGTGAAGATTTGGCATAGCTTCCTGAGTAGCTTCGTGGCTTGGAACAGGCCAAGACTAGCATAACCTTAAGAACAAATGGAGCAGCTACAGAGAATTTATGGAAATATTTCAGCAGAGTGGAAGTAAGCTATGCAAGCTTGCTTTTCCCCCTCCCCCCTCAATGTGAAGAGAAAGGGGGTATTTATAGGAGAAGTCTAGAAGCTGTGGCACTTGCTCTGAGGAATCGTACCGCATGCCCTGATGGAAGCTGCACACACAATTCCATTTAAAGCAAGATGCCAGCCAGCCTCATGGAGCTATTAAATAAAAAAACCAAACATGGTGAAAATGGAGGCGAACCCAAAATGGGAAAAATGGAGGCGTTCGGCGGTTCAGGGCTGTACGAAAGGATCTAATAGAAACTAAAGCACACATTTCCATTTGATGCAAAGATCTACATCTGTCCTGATGAAAAGGACGCCTAAAAATGGAATGGAAGGTTCTAGGGAACTGCTCCGTGGCAGGTCTGACAGCGCTCTGACAGAGCACTGCACACGCCATTCATTACGGAGCAAAATGATTGGACAAAGCAAAGATATGATTGGAATAATGGCCCAAATTAGAAGGAGATTGAGATAAGATTCTGAGATATGTGATGATTAAAACACTTCCCCAGGTCTAAAACACACCCGATCGCATGGGATCACATTAAATGTCAGGTCAAACTCATGATCTTTATGGCTAAACAGCCATCATTTGGAGCACTTGACACAAATTGCTCTGAGGAACTTCAATAGGCAAACCAAAGATGTGTCCAGGGACTCTCTTAGAGGCAGACGCAATGTAGCTCTGAGATGAAAATCTAGTGCAAGAAAAGCCTTTGTTGTGCTAGAAGATGATGAAGAAAGACCTTTGACAGTAGGGAAAGTTTTAAAAGATGAAGCTTGAAGGTGAAGGAGCAATTTGGGCTTTGAAGAAACAAAAAGAAGAAGACTTTAAACGAACGGTTTTGGGCTTCCTGCGAAAGGAATGCTTTGGGAAAGGTTGAGAACTCTATCACCCATTTATTCTTAACTTGATTAATTTAGGAAGCCCCCCAAGCGAGATTCAAATTAGTACGAAAGTCAAGAGATAAATGGGCCTACTTGATTACCCATAGCCCACCAAACCACGGCCTACGAGAGTTCTCCGAGCGTAGCTTGGGTCCACGAAACAAGCCCAACAGTGTCGCATGACACAAATTATTAGGCCTGGACCCTTGTATGGGCCTAATACCAAATCAACCATCAATAATAATTAAGTACATAGTAAATTTTAAGACTATTTAAAGTGAATAGCAGTTACTGTGTAATAACCTTCTTTGGTATGAGGATTCTAGAACCGGAATCATTATTTTGGTTCAAACTAGTGTTTGTTTGTAAAACATAAAAAGTGGTTATGGTTCGACTCAACAAAATAAGTGTTTGGTTTGGATAGTCATGGTTCAAGGTTTGAATCTTAATGTGATGTTTTAAACTAGAACCACCCTTGGTTCTAAAACCACACCCCCTTGATTTTGGGTGGTTCAAACCCCTTCCAGAACCATAATTTGAACTCAAAACCATGAATCATGGTTATAG